TAACCTTAATTTGGTTGCCTAAAAATTTGGATTAACAGTGCAGTCTACCATATTTATCCAGAGGAGTGTGGATATAGAGGTATTGAGGTTAACCTGTATTATGTGCAACTGAGAATTCATGCTTGTCTGGAAAGGTCTGATAAACCATTGCATTGTACCAGCTGGAGGCTATTCACTTGAGGAAGTGGGGATTCTTGTGAGATAGAGCTCCTTCTTATAATGCAGAGCCAACCAGGAGCTTATCCAAGTTACACAACCTCAGTTCTCAAAGGAGTCATTCTGAATACTCCATGATGGGGATCTCTGGTTCCACCCCTTACCAGGTCCCTTTTCCCACTGTTGACTCATAACTGGTTCCTGGGGAGAGTTCATTGTTTCATTAAAACTCTGTGAGACATTGGGCCTAAGCATCATTGCTGTGAGTCCTCTCTGAGAGGGTTAAAGGGGGAGAGGAGCTTTCTCCCTCAAACTACAACCCCTACAGAACATCTGCAATGGCTGTGCTTGCAGGGGGTAGACATGGTGGTGACCTGTGGCAGCAGCAGCAGTGTCCTGGAGAAAGCCATACCCACAGAGAGCAGATTATTAACTTTTTATGTGTTTTCTGTTTCATCTATTTAACAAGAAGGAGCTGTGCCTTCTATTTAATTTCCACAGAGACCTGCATATTGATGTTCATTAAATATTTTATTTCTTTTAAATCATTTTATTAATATTAAATAGATACAAAAGAATCTCTATAACTGATGTGTAAGAATATCAATATAGCAAATAACCCAATAGCTCCAGTTTGAGAGTAGAACATTAGCATTATCTTTGAACCCGCCTATGCATTCCTTGCGGATCGCATCTGTTGGCGTCCAGCCCCAGCAGGTCCAGGGGTTCCCAAAGGTGTGGACGGAGTCGGCGAAGAATAAATGACACGGAGGCAGCGTTCAGTTGATCATCATAGCTAGGTTCTCTTTTTATTGTCCTGTTACATCTGTATTTATATCATTTGATCCTATAAGCATGCCTCTAATTCCAAAGGTTAGGGCGTTTCTTATCTCCATTCCAAGGTTACTCTATTGTTCTATTAAGCTACAAGGAAGTAACTGAAAGAGATTATCCTAAGTAAAGATTATGTAGCTTAAGCGTGATTGTTCGTAGTTAAAGTGATTAACTACCTGCCTGGCACTTAGTTAAGGGGTTTTCAAGTCCCAAATTTATTGCCAACAGTCTTAGTCCAAGTTCTTCATAAGTAGTACATGGTATTTCTGTAACACTAGGGAGGGATTTACTGATTTATTCTCTTCCTTAGCCTGTCAATCCCTAACCTGGGGAAACAACCTCTCTCGGGGAGGTGGTCCTGTTTAAAACACATAGCGCTTAAGAGGGGGAGCGAACATATGTCATATACGCCAGGTCCCTTGAAACATAAGCTGTGCAGATGTTTCTTCCCTGCAGCGACTGCGACAAGCAGCAAGGGTGGACCGGCTTCCAGCACGCATCCCCTTTCTTTTTCCCTTAACACCATTCTTAGTCCTGAGTTTATCACTTCCTATTTTTTTCTCGTTTTACCACATATTTGTGTCCCTTAACTATATTGCTTAGCTTTGAATGGTTCAAATTTCTTATAAACAGAGTCAAATTGTATTTATTCTTTGTAACTTTATCCTTTCAATATTATATTCTTGAGGGTCATCTGTCTACTTGATTGAAATGGTAACATCTCTATTTTAGTTGATGGGTGACACATGTACAAGAGGTTGCAGATTTTGTTCCGTTAAGACTGCAAGAAAGCCACCTCCGCTGGATGCCAATGAGCCCTACAATACTGCAAAGGCAATAGCAGAGTGGGGTCTGGATTATGTTGTCCTGACGTCTGTGGATCGAGATGGTTAGTGTCATTATTACCTCTCCCAGAAATTGGCTCTTACTAATTTGTGGCATCACCTTGAGCAGTGGGCTCTCTTGTTTCTAGATTTGCCTGATGGAGGAGCTGAACACTTTGCAAAGACTGTATCACACTTAAAGGAAAGGTACTTGTGTAATTTAAGGACTGTTTTGGTCTCATATAAGTTCACTATGGTCTTTACTTCAAAGCAGTGGTATTAACTTTTTTGGGGGAGGCGGGGGGGGGTTATAAATCCCTCTGATAATCTGCTGGACATTATCTGCCAGAAAAAAGCATATGTAAACATACAGATACATATTTGCAGAAATTTTAGGGATTTGGAGACACGAGTTTATTCATGAACCTTTGGTGCAGAGAGCCCCTGCTTTGTATTTGAGTGCTAGTCTCAACTTCCTTTGAGTAATTTTAAAAGAAGTATAAAGCTGCAGTCTTCCTAGCACTGATTTTGAATAAATAATCATCTAGAAGGAATAAGGATGAGATAAGCTCCCACATTGTAAAATATGTAAGTCTTGATGTAGATTTTATCTGTATTTACATGTCCTTGGAATTTTACCCATAATACACATTTTTGCGATTTTAACCTCGTCCATTTAAAAAGATTTTAAAAGGGAGTTATGCCTATTTCCTATAGCTCAGTGCTAGTCTAGCACCTACATACTTAGTAAATATTTCTTCAATGATTCTTGGAATATTTTCTACTTAATATATTTTATAACTCATTAAAAAAATTTTTATTTGCAACCCACTAAATTGATTTCACAAACTACTAATGGGTTTCAACTTGCAGTTAACAAACAGTGAGTTATAGGATGTGTTCTTTCAATATCTTTTATATCCATGAAAGGGCATATTTTTTTTACATCTGTTCTCTTAGGAAACAGCTCCCAAAACTTTACAGTTTGTGAAAAAATTTGTCAGCTGTCCTGTCATTTCTGCTGCTGTCAGAGAAAGCAGCTCTATGAGCTAGTTCACATTTCAATGCTTGAATGTATAGATATAGCCAATATAAATAGAAAGATTAATATTTAGCTTACATTCTATTTAAGCAAAGCTCAACTTGATTCAGCAACTCAGAATAGCTTTTAAAGCCCATAATACTTGTGAAATATTTGCGAGGACAATCCTATTTGATGAATTTTAAAAGAAATAAAAATCAAAGCAATCAAATAATGTTTACATTCACAGAGGTATCCCAGTTTACTTTCTAAAAAATAAAAAATATTTTATATTTAAGGTTTTAATACTTATATTTTAATTCCTAAAAAATACATATTTTTTATATGCCTTCTTAGTAATGCTTAAAAATCTGCACAGTCTCAAAATGTATCCTGGTTGTCCTTTGCTTACAGATGTGTTTTAGCCGCTGTGTACATATTATTTGATGTTCTGGATTTATTTTTTCATTAAACAGTTCAGATATAAACATTTGTATGTTCATGCTTTTGGGGCAGGATTCTAAAGATTACTGTGTTGAAACTGATACAGAATGTGTAGGGTGATTTCTGTTTTGAGCAGCAGTTATGTCAGTTCTTCTCAGTTTAATGCTTATCTTTTTTTTTCCTTTAGGAATCCAAAAATTCTTGTGGAATGTCTCACTCCTGATTTCCGAGGAGATCTTAAAGCAATAGAAAAAGTCGCTCTGTCAGGATTAGATGTATATGCACATAATGTAGAAACAGTTCCAGAATTACAGAGGTGATTACACATACAGAGTAATGTTGGAATGTTTTCTCACTTTTTTCAAAGGAGAACTTTGTAATAGACTTTCATAAAGTGAATTTTTTAAACAAAAGCAACGTAAATAAGCCTGTTGCAGAAAAATTAAGATAATATTGCCAACGAAAGAATGTGATCATCACCCATAATATTTCTACCCAGTAATATCAGTTTCCAACATCCAAAGAATAAATATCATATTTATGCATGTGTATGTTTTGTTATACAGCCATAATGAGGATCTTTTTTTCTTTTTTTGATACTATCTTATTACAAGTGCCAATGAGTTATTTTTTCAAAGAACAGTGTTAAAAAAAATTACACAAGAGCAAATACTTTGATTATAATTCTAAAAAAAAACAAACAAAAAAGACTATATACATTTGACATTAAGATATGCAATAAATGCCGAAACTGGTTTGGCTCAGTGGATAGAGCGTTGGCCTGCGAACTGAAAGGTCCCAGGTTCGATTCCGGTCTAGGGCATGTACCTGGGTTGCGGGCACATTCCCCGTAGGAGATGTGCGGGAGGTGCCTGATCGATGTTTCTTTCTCTTCGATGTTTCTAACTCTCTGTCTCTCTCCCTTCCTCTCTGTAAAAAATCAATAAAATATATTTTTTTAAAAAAAGATATGTAATAAATGATGCCAAAGAAAAACTAGTATTCAGATGTATTTTAAAATCTCTTTTAAAAAGTAGACACTATACTTCTTTACTTTTTCCAAAAAATTTTAGTGGGTAGGAATAATTATAGATTGTTATTCCACATTATGACTATGCTCATATTTCAAAAAACTAAAAATTATTTTAACCTTTAACATTCATTTTTATTAATTTTAGTAAAGTTTTTGATAATGGTTTTGTTAGTTTATAGACATTATACTGTGTTATAGAATTTGAAAGAAATATGATAAAGAATAACCATCATTTCCACTTAATCATAAACATTAGGGAGCATAATTTAAATTCAGTGGAGAAGTACTTTCAGAAAATAATGACTTTCTGTATTACCAGTTTTATGGTTATTTTTTAACTCATTAATTGGTTTCCTCTCAGTGAACTGGTCTCTGGTTAAAAATAACAATCACAACAACAAATCAATTACCCAAAAATAAAGGTTGCTTTTGATTTCAGATGAATGCTGGTTTAGCATCAGCAATTTAAAAAATATATATTTTTATTGATTTCAGAGAGGAAGGAAGAGGAAGATATAAACATTAATGATGAGAGAGAATCATTGATCAACTACCTCCTGCATGCCTCCCACTGGGGATTGAGCCTGCACCTGGGGCATGTACCCTGACCAGGAATTGAACTGACTTCCTGGTTCATAGGTCGATGCTCAACTACTGAGCCACACCAGCCAGGCTAACATCAGCAATTTCTATCCATTGGGCCTTGTCCCAATTTAAACCATGGTGGTTTGGCCCCTGTTGAAGTCTGGCACACAGCCTGTTCCACC